TTAGAAATAAATTATATATGATATATATATATATATATATATGTTATAAATAAAGTTAAGTGTTTTATATAAAACTTTTTTTTTTGAAATATATTATACTTATTATAAAAAACTATTGACACAAATGTATTAATTATTTTTATGATAATAAATATTATGTTATTATTAGCTAAGCTGTAGTTTTTTCAAACAACAAAAATACAGTAACAATGTTTGTATGTATGTGTGAATCATATGATAGGCAATACTATTATTGCCTATTATTGCTTGTTGTGGATGAAAGACCTTTTACTGTATATATATTTATATCAATGATTGATATTAATATATATATATATATATATATTTTTTTAAGTAAAAAAAAAGTACTAAAGCATAGCATATATATATATAGTATACATACTAAACACAACTATTAAATTGTGTTATCATTGGTTTCATTGCCTTTTTATTCATCATTACATACAATGTCTGTAAACAAAGTGAATGCCACTAAAAAAATAAAATAAAAAATTATTGCATTCAATATCCTTAATCACTATTAACTATTAAAAAATATTTTTTTTAAACTTAATTTTAAAATAGTTTCGCAAATAATTTCAAATTTTTCATATCATATCTCACTTTGAATGTATTGTTTGATATAAATAATAACTTTGTTTTATTGAGATTTTTATATTATATCATATATTTATGTATTAATATAACTAAAAATGCACTAAAGGGTAAAAACTTTTTTTTTATATATTATTAAATAATTATTATTGTAATCATTTTAAATGTTAATCTGAATGAGTGATCCAAATAATAATAATAATAATAAATTTATATTAAATGAAAAAAAACTTTAATGAAAGTTATATTATTTAATACAAACATTTTTAATGACTTGTATATTATATAACTGTATGATAATTAATATGTATATCATTTTTGTTTATTATATATAATATTTTTTTTTGGTGACAATAGGATCCTCAATGAGATCCTCAACTATAAGGAGGGGGTCATTGACTTTCATTATCATAATAATTATTATTCAATCAATCAAATGGTGTCAACAATGATATGACCGGAAATATCGGGAAAAGTATCGGACATTTGGTGTTCAAAATCAATTAAATTGTTTAAAAAATTAAAATTGTTTTCAAATCAATGGCTAAACACTCAACAAAAAATTGTTTGTTTGTATGCAATGTATGCAATAATATGACACACTTTAAGACAAATTAAATTAAATTTAAATTAAATTAAAAAAAAGTTTTGAAAAAATCTAATAACACTTACCATTGGATGTATTGTTTGTTTAGTTGATTATGACTATTGAATTAGTATTAATAGTAAAAAAAAGGTATGACCAGTATATGTATGGATCGGTAGTGTTTAGGGCACTGGTATTCAAATGGACAGTCAATTTTTAAATCATCAATGGATGAGTTATATGTGTGTGTCTGTCTATTAATAAATACTATAATCACTTATATATATATATATATGCAAACATCAATTGATTGCCTAAAAAATGATATCATTTTTCAGTAATAATTATAATAATTTAGTTTTTATTTTTATATTTTTGACACTCATTTGAGTTACAAAAAAAAATTGTTATGTATTTTCTCTATGTGTTTGTATATATGTTTTGTGTGGCAATACCTCTCTATTATTGAGTGTATGTGTTGTCTCTAATACTATACATTAGGGTTGAAACGCCCCGATCCCTACATACGTGTGCTCTACGTATATATATATGACTGTGTATACACTCAAATAACCAGGGTTGGTAAAAAAATATTCAAGCTATTTGTAATTTTTTTTTAGCTTTGTAAATTACAGTAAAATACAATGGTACTGGGATGTATTTTACAATTATAAGTAAAAAAAAAATTGTACATTGATTAAAATATTTATTATTATTTTTTTATTTTTAATTATTAAAATTATTATAACTACATAATTTCAATTATCTGAAAATTCAATTTTCTAAAACTATTAAAAATTAATATTAATTATTTTTTGTTTTATTATTAATATATTTCAATACCAGAATTAAATTGCGAATTTTTAATATTTTTTTTTAAATTTTTTTCAAAATATAAAAATATAATTATTATTACAAAACATGTGTTTGTTTGTGAATCTTAGTATTTTTGTTACTAGGTGGCGCTAAATTTTTTGTTGTAAGCAAAAATTGTCATTGTAATTTTTACATTGTATTATACTGTAAAAATACGCTTTGTATTATACATACATTTTGTCTCTGCCAACACTGCACTCAATACATATAGTATAGTATACTATGGATTGACACCATTCCTCTCTCTCTCTCTCTCTCTCTCAACAATAGATAATGTAAAATACAGTATATATGTGATGATGGGTTGGTTTATTACACAAAACTACCGGTGCTTACGTTAAAAAAAACTAGTGATAAGATATATCGACTGTCGATTTTCAGTCGACAAAATAACTAAAGTTTTTTTTAAAATATTTATTTAGTTATTATCGAAATTTTTAATTAATTATGTTTTTTATTTGTTTAGTTAGTTTTGAATGTATGCAAAATAGTTTGGGTTAGACCCGGAACTGTATGTATGTGTGTGTGTGTGTGTGTGTGTTAGCACACATATCTAGTGTATATATGTATGTGTACTATCAACAGTGTATAGCAATATGTACCACACGTATGGTATCCATGATGAATATAATCGGGTATTCGGGTATTTAATACAGTATTATATAAATGGGTTAATTAAATATTTTTTTTTAAAAATTGTACTTGGTGGTTAAATTGCAATTTTTTTTGTGTAAATAAATTGATAAAAAAAATTTTTCATCATTAATAAATATATATATGTGTGTGTGTATAGAGGATCGGTATTAAATTGTTAGATAACAAAATTATATATATATATGAATGTCTGGCTGGATATATGTCGGGTATGGCCTTATACACTACTGGTTAGGTTATATAAGTGTATGTATGTGTAGTAGTAGTAGTAGTAGTAGTTGTGTTTAAGGGTGTAGTCATAAATAGGTAATATCTGTGCGTTTGTGCGGTAAATGGTAGACGCCTTAGTCGTGTGTTTGGTTTGCGTAACACTTGTTTGACTACTATTTGCGATATATATATATATATATATATATTTATTCACAAAAATAACAAGATTTCATAATAACAAAAAATTTACAGCCAGTCTCTCTCTCTCTCTCTCTCTCTCTCTCTCTCTCTCTCTCTCTCTCTCTCTCCCAACAATGTGTTTCCACATTTCCACTGTATATATATAAGTGTTGAGCAATCAAAATGATAATATGAAATCAATGGTATAGTACTGTAGCAAAAATTTTTCAATACATTTACTTTATAGACACAGTGTGTGTGTGTGTGTGTGTGTGTGTGTGTGTGTGTGTGTGTGTGTGTGTGTGTGTGTATGTGTATGTGTATGTGTATGTGTATGTATGTGTATGTATGTGTATGTATGTGTATGTATGTGTATGTATGTGTATGTATGTGTATGTATGTGTGTGTGTGTGTGTGTGTGTGTGTGTGTGTGTGTGTGTGTGTGTGTGTGTGTGTGTGTGTGTGTAAGTGTATGTATGTACAGTATGTATGTGTGTATAATATAAGTACAATACAGTAGTAATATATATATATAGTGTACTGTATATTCACTATACAGTAGAGTACAGTATTATTACTCAATAAAAGTAGTTTTTCATGAAATCTCTCTCTCTCTCTCTCTCTCTCACTCTTTATCACTAAAAATAATTACTATATTTCGCAACTTTCCTGGTTAGATGTTATTTTTATATATATATAAAAATATTTCATCTAGTACAATTCTATCCTGAAAAAAACAATAAAATTATAAATAATTTTCAACTAAAATAATTGTTTTTTTAAATAGCAAACAATTACTATAGGAATATATAGGAATATTTTCATTAAAATGCTTATAAATTGATTGGTTTTTATTATTTTGTATTTTTTTTAATTATTATAAAAATCATTTAAATTTTTGTTTGTATGTTAAATAATTATTAGTAATTTTCATGAACTTTCACACCACTGTTTATTGTGTTAATAATACATGTTTAACAGGGAAATTTCCTGGAAAATTTTTGATGCATTTTTATTTTTATTTGATTGAAATAATTTACTTCCCTAAATAATATTTTAGAAAATCCTAATTATTTTTTTAAAAAAAAATACACACACATTGATAAATATTACTTAAACTTACATTATATATATATATACATGTCATGTATTATACATAATAAAAAAAATAAAAATGTTAGACAAGTGTCTATTTATTTAGTTTGTATAATAGTTAAAGTTTTTCATACAAATCTATTGTAAATGTATAATAATAATAATAATAATTTATTAATAGTAATATTGTCATAATAAATTATGCATATCAATGCATATTTAAATGATATTATTATTTTTTTAAAGTTTGCATTTGTAAATTATTACTTAAATATTTAAAAAAAAAAAAAAATTATTTTGTTAAATAGTTATTTTTCAAACAAACAAAATTTTTAGACAATTTTTTTAGACAATTTTTTAGACAATTTTTTTTGTGTGTCTGTGTATTGTTTTTTTTTTGTGTTATAGTTATGTTGGTTACTATTAAATAGACATATTTCCCCCCCCCATTTTATTTAGCCCAAACCGAAACCGTAATCATAATCGTAAATTTTATAATATAATTATTATGTAATCATATTTATATGATACGTTAGTTATCTGAATATTATAATAATAATAATATAAAAACCAAACCGTTTATTTATTTGTACTCTAGACCCGTATAATAATTTAATATAATTTCATATTCAATCTAAAATCTAAAACAAAAATTATTGTATAATTAATATACAGTATATATTATATATATTTAATTACACGATCTAATCATATCTACATTGATTGCAAATATGCATATATATTATTTTTATTTATTTTTCAAAAAAAAAATATTTATAACTATAACAAACAATTACCAAAAATACTAAATACATGTTTGTTTGTTGTTTAGTAATTAAAATCAATTTTTTGAACGTTTTTGAAAATATTATTGAGAGAAAAACTTATATCCCATTATGTATAATATGACTATCCATTTGTATCCTCCAAATCATTGAATCATTCAATTCAATGCTTTTTTCAATGCAATTCAAAACTATATTATGCAATATTCTGTATAATTTTTTTAGTGTACTTTAAACAGTATATATATATATATATAAAAGCAGTTATCAATGCTAACTATGCCTTAACTACTACTACTACTATATATGTATTACTATTTATTTTTTCTTAACAATAAACAACACATTCAATGATTGTTTGTTTGTTTGTCTCTCTCGATGTTTACAAAACATTATTTTTTCGCTAATTAATAGTATTAATAATTATATTATTATTATTATTATGAATATTTGTTGCTATATAATACTGTACCTAAAAAAAAAACTAACAAACATTAATTATCACATATACAGTATAGGCAATTATTATTATTATTATTATTAACATAGCATAACATTTAGCATTGATAGCAATCGTGTAATTTATTTATTTATTTTTTTCATTGAGTGTTTCAACAATTATTTTTACGGTAAGTTTATTAATAACAACAATAATTTTATTTTTTTATAATTATATATAATTATAATTACCACACTATAAATTTTTATTTAAATATAATAATTCAATAATAATAATTAATTAATAAAGTCTAAAAATTAAATTAATAAACTAAAATAAGCATTGAATTTGGATTTTTCACTGCAATCACTGTACGGCCCGACGGGCGGCCACTTGTCGGTCATTTTGTTGTTGATTTTTTTCTTGATAAGCCTTAATACGGGCTTCAACTTCGGGTCTAAAATGTCTAATAAGTCCCTATAAAATTGATTATTTAAAAAAAAATATATGTGAAAACAATACATGTGATAACCATACGGGGTATATACTGTATATACAGTCATATTTACGGTAATACAATCAATCAATCAATAGCTACTATACCTGGACAGGCCAGGCGGCGGCGTCGCCCAACGCACATATGGTGTGTCCCTCTATTTGTTTGCTCATCTCGTAAATCATATCAATCTCTTGGGGTTTGGCATTGCCCTCAACGAAACGCCACATAATTTTATTGAGCCAACCGACCCCTTCCCGACATGGGGTACACTATATATAAATATTAGAAAACAAGTATCGGTAAAAAAATCGGTAATTTTTATGGTACGGTACGGTACGGTTACTCACTTGTCCGCAACTTTCGTGCTTATAAAACGTCAGAAGTCTAGCTATAGCCCTGACCACATCGGTCTGTTTATTCATAACAATCAGTGCTGCCGTTCCCAGTCCAGACTGGGCGGCGACCAGCGAATCGAAATCCATTAGTACTTCTTCGCAAACTTTTTTCGGTATAATCGGCGTCGACGAACCGCCGGGAATAATGCCCAACAGGTTATCCCAACCGCCAACAATGCCACCGCAATGTCTATCAATTAGCTCTCTCAACGGTATCGACATTTCCTCCTCAACCGTACACGGATTGTTCACGTGACCCGATATATTGAACAATTTGGTACCACTGTTACGGGTGCGACCGAACGACACAAACCAGGCACCGCCCCGACGACAAATAGTCGGCGCAACGGCTATCGATTCGACATTGTTGACGGTTGTCGGACAGCCGAACACACCGATATCGGCCGGAAACGGTGGCTTCAGACGCGGCTTTCCTTGTTTGCCTTCAATGGACTCGATCAGTGCCGTCTCTTCGCCGCAAATATAAGCGCCGGCACCCCTGTGAACGTAGATATCGAAATCGTAGCCCGAATTGCAGGCATTGCGGCCAATAAGTCCGGCTTCGTAGGCCTCGCGTATGGCTATCTGCAAATTGGACGCTTCGTTATAAAATTCGCCCCTAATATAGATGTAAGCGGCCATCGCTCCCATAGCCCGACCGGCCACCAGACATCCCTCGATCAGCTTATGCGGATCGTGACGCATAATCTCCCTGTCCTTGCAGGTGCCCGGTTCGCCTTCATCGGCGTTAACTACCAGATATTTTGGCCGTCCATCGGGCGGTTTGAGCATAAAACTCCATTTAAGACCAGTAGGAAAGCCGGCACCGCCTCTGCCCCGCAAACCGGAGGCTTTCATTTCGTTGATAATCCATTCGTGACCTTTCAGTAGGATCTCCTTAGTCTTATACCAATCGCCCTTTTGATTGTAAAAAAAAACAGATACAAGAGATTATAGGGTATATCATCATCAGATGAGGTCACCGTTGATGACCACCAATAATACTAATAATAATACCCTTTTGAGTGCACCCGACAGTCTCCAGTCGTGTCTTCCGTAAAGATTTGTAAATATTCGGTCAGAATCGGCAAGTGGTCCGAACTTTGTCTGCGGAGGTCATATATAACATCAATATATATATTGTAAGACATAATCAATGGGTGATATCAAGGATATACCTTTTGCGGAGGCGGTGGTGGCGGCGGCGGCGGCGGTGTAGTAGTCTGTGAGCTCTGGTATCGGATCTGTTGTTGCGGTGACTGATGTCTGGCGATCACTGAAAGACCAAACAGATATTGAATTCAGACCATTGATGTCTTGACATTGTCTAACCTGTTTGGATCTGATTCCTGGTCGTCGTCATCGTCATCATTAGCCTCATATTGTGTGCCATTGTCTGTGTGTGACCGCAACTCTCAGGTCACCCGATTGGTTGACCCGTAAAAAAAACTTTGCGGTGTTGTTGACGATGATGACCGCCGCTGGTGGTGTCCTAACCGTTGATTTTTTTAATAGATAGGTATTAATACCGCCGGTATGTATATGTGTGTGTCCGCGACCTTATCGGGACAATAATAATCGGGTAGTAATTGGTGTCAAAAAAAAAAATATATAAATAATTATTATTATATTTATTAATAATTTTTGTTTTATTATTATTTAATAAACAAATAATATATATTTGTGTACTAAAAGTGATACATAAATATCGCTATAATTTTAGGCTATTTTGGGTTAAAATATTTATAAAACTAAAATAATTTTTAATTTTTATTATATGTTTAAAAAAAATTTTTAATATAAAAAATTTAGTTTTTTTATATTAACGTTGTTTTAATAATTTTGTTGTTATTGTCTTTAAATTTTTCAATAATTATCATTAAATAAAAATTATTATTATTTTATTATTATTATTATATTTGTGTTATAAATACAGTACTTTAATAACATAATTGATGTAATGTTTTATATTATTAATATACAGTATATACTGTAAGGAGTAGTTCACATATTACGTTCGCGCAGTTGAGGGAGGGGGAGGGGGTCGGCAAAAAGCGATTTTTTGCAAACAAGGGGGAGGGGGATGGGTAGTAAACTTAAAAACGTTCGCATTTTTTAGAAAATATAGTATTATTTTAGTGGTGATGGGGGGGGGGGTTTAGCGCTGTTATGGACATATGTGAACGTAATTTTTTTTCATATAATGACTACATGCAAACAAAGGGATGGGTGAGGGGGGGGTCTAGATTTGCGAACGTATTATGTGAACCGCCCCTTAATATAATTTATATCTAAAAATTTTTTGTACAGTAATTGTGTATTAAAATACCGGTTATTATATATTAAACGGTTATTATTTGATAATTAATTAAATTAATTAATTGTTTTTTTTAGTGACCCGGAAGTGATGTCCGATTCATTGTCCTCGACGTCGACGTCTTCATCGGCGGCCAAACGATACCAATCGTTACCATTAAGTCGTGTAAAGACAATCATGCGGTCGTCGCCCGACGTATCGGCCATTAGTCCGCAGGCCATCCAATTGACCGCACATTCGGCTGTTTGTTGTTGTTGTTGTTGTCTTTGATTTCATTATTAATTAAAACTTTTTTTTTTTTGGTTAAAACAGAAACTATTGATAACATTACTGCTGAAGACATCGTACGAAACAAAGATGAAGACAAAGAAGTCGAAGAATACAGTCCTAAGACGTGAACTAAACTATAAAGATTTGGCTACAGTTGTGTCCCATAATCGGCGGTTAGATTTTCTCAAAGATATAATACCCGAAAAGATTAAAGTCAAACATTTGGCCACCAAATCAACCAACAAAAATGTGGTCAACTTATAGTTTAAAATCAATCAATGATTATCATTATCATCGGTACTTTAGTGGTGACACAATCTAATGGCAACTTTATTGCAACTATTAATTAATTAATTAATTAATTAATTAATTAATTAGTTAATAATTGTTATATTTAAAGATTGTATTAATTGAATCATATGTTTGTTTGTTTTTTTTAATTATAAATATCATTCATCCAAAACAAAAATATATTTTGTATTAATAGTTATGAAACTTATTGATTATTTTTTTTGTTGTTAAAAATTAATTATCATTAATTAATATATTTATATATTATATAAGTTTATAAACATATATATATATATATTAATACATATTAACAAAAAAATATATATACATTAAAATTGAATAAAATAAATTGAATGTTTTATAATAATATTTATATTATACAATTATTTTTATTACAATTATATTATTTTTTTAACATTTATGTATAAAATATCTTATTTTTTTACAGATTATTATTATTATTGTTAATATTAAACCGATTACCTGTAACTGTAATATCCATTAGTTTATTATATAACTACTGATACGTTATTAATAGGATTAGTATTATATTTATAAATACATTTTTAAAACATTTTTTTTTTGAAAAAAAAAACATCTAATTTGATATTTAAATGCTAAGTATTATATTGATATATAAATTATATAAAAATATATATAAATTTTATAGTATATAATGTTTGTATTATAAAAACAAATTTTGTATATATTTTTTAAAAATTTAATAATTTTGAAACATTATTTGTAATGAAAAAAACAACTTTCATATTTTATGTAAGGAAAGAGAGAGAGAGAGAGAGAGAGAGAGAGAGAGAGAGAGAGAGAGAGAGAGAGGAGTTAAAAATTATTTATATATAAAAAAATTAATAAGTTTTAATTAAAAAATAATAATAATAATTAATATGTACTGCAATTTAATTAAAATTATAATTTGTTTACATTTTTATTTTTTGACTAATTGATAAGTTAAAAAAAAATTAGTAAAAAATAATAATAATAATAAAATAAAATGAAACAAATAAAATTGATTGAAACAAACAATAGAAACAATCCTAAAATAAAAGTTTTATTTTTATAATTAGGTATTTATTAAACCAACAAAAAAAAATTTGTGTTATAATAAAGACAATGAATTTATATCTATTATTATGTCAAATATATTTACTAATGATTGTCCAGTTATGTCCAATAAATAAATGTAAGTCTCAAACAATTCAACTAAAACAACCCCCAAATGACCCCCTGGTTGTAGTCCAGGTCAAGTCCAGCAGCAGTCCTACTATTACTGCTACTACCTCACCATCACTTCCTCCCGATCCTCCACCACCTCCTACTACTTCACTACTCAACAGCTATACTGCAAATAATAGTCTAATAAGTATATCTAGAAGAAGACTGAAGAGATCGTTGACAACAAAAAAGTTAAGACAAATAACAACAGCTAAACAACAATTGAAACCTAAGTTAAAACTTGTGGACAATCATCATCATCATCATCCAGACAATCATCAATCGGATTGGATAATCATGGATTATCACCAATTGATTCCTAATAATACAAATGAGACAACTAATGGTTTACCACTTACTTCTATATCTACTTCGACAACAACAGCAACTAGTAATCCATTATCTTCTATATATAATTATAATTACCCGACGATGACGACCACGACATCATCATCAGTAGTAATACCCGATTGGATAATATCGATAACCGCGAAACCCGATTGGATTATAATGGATGATAATAATAATGGTTCACATAATATGTTAGACGATAATATGGGACAACAAACAGCAAATAAAAAACTTGAAGACAACAACACCAATACTACTCGGCAAAGACAACAACAATCACCGGTTAATAGCAAACTAACCGCAAAGTCATCGACAACTAAGCAGCAGATAATAACAACTACTAGAAAAAAGTGGTCAATTAAGCCAATTGTTTCCGATAGTGATTATCATCATCAGCAACAACAACAACAACAGCAACTAAGTGGACACCAATTTGCTGTTAAAGATAAGCTATTATCAAATAATAGGAAAATAAAAAATCAATGGCCAGTAGTAGCCGATAGTAGTTTACATAATCAGCAAAAAGTTATCGCAATTAATCAATCAATCGATGATAGAAAAAGTGATAATAATTTCAATCTAACTAAAAGACAGATGAGATCACAACTATTGGATTCATTAACAAAATTGCTTTCAAGAGTAAAATCAGAGACATCATCATTGGATCAATTAGATGGTAACACTAATATTATTATATATATACTGTATATTAATTAATTAATCAATTAATAATAAAACTAATCAATTATTAATTATAAAAAAATTTTTAGGCTATTTACTAATCCTTTTTAAAAAAAAAAATTTTCATTAAATAAATAGTTTTTACAAACATTATATTAGCCAATGTTTGCCATCTAATAATTATATAATATTTTTTTATTTAAAAATAATAATATTATTTAATATTTAATTTATTTTTTTTAATTTATATTTTTTTTAATATATAGTATCCAAACAAAATGTTAGTCAAAATATTAATGCAAAAAGGATTCGTCAAAAATTTGATAAAATACTTAAAACACAGTTTTTAAACAATGGTATTATTATTATTAATTATTATTTATGCTTTATATTATAATTATAATTTTTTAATATCTATTTTTAATAATTTTATTTATATTATATTAATTGATTTAAATCTATAGCATATATTAAATTAAGTAATATATATATATATATATATATAGTATATATATTTTTAAATGTATATAAGTAATATATTATAAGTTGTATATTTTTAGATAAAAAAATAAATTTGGAAATTATAATTTAAGTTTAAATCATATTAGCATAATATATATTAGTATATATTGATAATAATATATATTAAAATTAAAATTTATTTCTATATATTAGATACAAAAAAAGCAAATGTAAATCAAAATAAACTGATAACAAAACAAGTAAAAGCATTGAATGATACAAAATATTTGGAAACTAATTCAACAATTGATGAAAAACTGGTTAACAATAATAATAATAATAATATATCGGAAAACAATGCAATAAAATCAGATAATTTCAATGACATAACAAATCAATCAATCAATGAATTGAAAACCAATTGGCATAAAAACTTTGATCAAACAAATCAAAGTAGAAAACATATTATAGATATTGAAAGTCAAACTAATATTACTAATAATAATAATAATAATAATAGTTTTATTATCACTGAAACATCTAATAATAATAATAATAATAATACAGACAATCAAATTGTAAAATCAAATTCATTTAATAGTTTAAATGAAATTTTACATAAAATGGACGAACAAATTGATAGAAAAGATAATAGTTTAGTATTTAATTTGAATAATAATAATAATAATAATAATAATAATAATAATAATAATAATAGTATTAGTAATATAATAAATAATAAAAATGTTAGCAAAATTAAAATATATAGTTTTAAAGTCTATGAAATTGATTTTACGGACGGCACACATCAAGTTTTAACACAATAGCTAATAATTTAATTTAATATACTTTAATATAGTTGTATATTATTTATATATATATATATATATTGTATTTAAATGTTAATATTAAAAAATATATATTTAATATCTTAATAATAATATTTTTTGATTTATTTTGTATTATAGTAAATTATATAAATAATAATAATAATAGTTTTCATAAAATTTATTTAAAATATTAATATTATGTAAAATATTTTTTATTTAATTAGAATTTATTTAAATAATGTTTTTATGTTTATTTAATCAAATATATATATATATATATACACACAGTATATATATATTAAAAATTTAAATTTTTTTTAATAATTAAAATAATTTTGTTTTAAAACTTATAATGTGATATAAATAAATAATAATTTTAAAACATTTTATTTTAGCAGTTATATACTGTATATAATTTATATACTGTTTTTAATACAAATTTATAGTATGACTATAAAAAAATAAATAAAAACATTTATCACTGGATTTTATCAATGAAAGTGTCAGACAATTAAATAGAGCGACGTTTTTATAGTTATATATAAATTAAATAATAATATATTATTTTATTTTATTATAATATTATTATATAGTTTTTTTTAAATAATCAGTATATTTAAAATATTTTATTCAAAAAAATAATAAATAAATTAAATAATTTATTATCAAATAGTTTTTTTTGAATAACAATATAGCGTCGATAATTAAAAATAGTTTTTTTTGTTGTTGAAATTAATTTATAGTATAATAAAAAAATATATAAAAATCATTTTTAACTATATTTATTATTCTAGATAAGTGTAGAAATTTTAAATAAATAATAATAATAATAATAATAAAAAGTTTTAGTTTATCGCTTAAATAATAAATTTTAAAAAAACTTTAATTTTTAAAAAAACTAAATTATCCCATTAAATAATCAAAATAAATTAAACCGTAATTTTTCTACATTTATTTTATCAATTATATAATTTTTTATAATATTTAAAATGAGTTTATAGTTTTAAAAACTATCGGTTAATCCAAAAATGTTTTTTTTTTAAATTTTTTAAAAATTTAATCAGCAATGTGTCAACAATTTTATATAAACATTTATAAAAATTTATCTTATATCTTTATTGAATTTTTTTTATAAATATATAAATTAAAATTATTATTATTATAATTTATATATTATGATTATAGAAAATAAACACATAATTAATTTTATTTAAAAAAAATAATCTATTTTATCTAATTTTATTTATAAATTTTTTCATTTTTTTAAATACAATACATCAATTATCAATTTTAATATAACTTTAAATAATAATAATAATATTTAAATATAAATAAAAACATTTTAACATCATTTTTTTATAATAAAAAATAATAATAATATAATTACGATATATAAATATATATGAGATTTAAATAAATGGATAAATTAATTATTTTATACCGTAATATACTATATATTTATACATATATATAGTGAATGAGATTCGTATAATTGCTAAAATGAAAACTGAAAAAAAAATGATTTAATTAATTAAAATATTTTTCTAAAAAAAATATTAAAAACAAACTTAAAAAAATAAATAACATAAAACTTACTTAAATATTGATTGAAAACTAAATTTATAGGATAGTAATGGATAAACAAAACAAAAAAAAATGTGTGGATATAATGGCACAACAAATATCTAACAGCGCATCCTATAATATAGCTACCAATAACTACCATCCATGCGATCCGCCTCCGTGTCCACCCTTACCGAAACTGATACTGAATCCCTTTCCGTGACCACCACCACCACCGCCAAACAGGTCACCGAAACCGCCGAAACCGCCGAAACCGTGACTATCGAAACCGTGAGACAGCGGCAAAACAAGCGGTTTGGATATCAGTGTCGGATTTTTGCGCAAAACAATTTTCGGCAACGGTAGAAACAACGGTATCTTATCGAAGGATAGTCCGATTTCGGGTATTGGCAACACAAATGCCGGTGCTTTGACCGATTGATGGTGACTCTCGTAGCCACCGTCTCCACCACCGCCACCACCGTATTCATCGTTGGCAAACACTGAGACAATCAGCAAACATAGTACTAGCTATAGATGTATTGGTTTTTTGTAGTAATGATTATAACAAAATTAAAAAAAATTATAATTAAAAAAACTTATATATTTAAAAAAAAACTTAAAATTATTTAATAAATTTATTAATGTAGATAACTTACAAATAGATTCATATTTAATATTATTTATTTATGATTTCAAATGACACTTTTAAAAATATATAGAAAATATATAGAAAACACACAACAAATAGAAAATTGAAATTTTTTTTTATTATTATAAAAAAAAATATAATGTAAAGTGAAAGTGGATGCAAATTGAATGCAAACTAAATTGAAAATGTTTGCAAAACTATTGAAAACTAGTGTCTTATATGAGAAGCAGAAAATATTTGGGTCACTAAATAAAGTTATCGTTTAATATATATATATCTATATAAACCCCTGTTTTTTGAAAGCAAATCTCTCTCTCTCTCTCTCTTTCTCTCTCTCTCTCTCTCTCTCTCTCTTTCTCTCTCTCTTTCTCTCTCTCTCTCTCTCTCTCTCTCTCTCTCTGAAAAAACCAACACTTATCCGGAAACAGACTGACGGCCACAACAAAACTAGAAGTGAATACTTTATACATATATATACTGTATATACCGTATAAATACTTGATATAAAGATATAGCAAATTATTATATATATACACTGTATATCTAGACTTAAGCACAGGTATGTGTGTGTGTAAAATCCATGTGCTCTCTCCTCTTACAAAAAATTGTGTAATACAGTACAACAATAAACAAAAAAGTTTGGTGTGTATGTATGTGTGTATGTATGTGTGTATGTATGTGTGTATGTATGTGTGTATGTATGTGTGTATGTATGTGTGTATGTATGTGTGTATGTATGTGTGTATGTATGTGTGTATGTATGTGTGTATGTATGTGTGTATGTATGTGTGTATGTATGTGTGTATGTATGTGTGTATGTATGTGTGTGTATGTATGTGTGTATGTATGTGTGTATGTATGTGTGTGTATGTGTGTGTGTTTGTGTATATGTGTGTGTATGTGTGTGTGTATGTGTGTGTGTGTGTGTGTGTGTGTGTGTGTGTGTGTGTGTGTGTGTGTGTGTGTGTGTGTGTGTGTGTGTGTGTGTGTGTGTGTGTGTGTGTGTGATGGTGTGAGGGGTCACTTTAAAAAACTAGTTCATTAGGGAATTACAATAAGCAAAACATTAAAATGTTTGATGTTTTTTGGCTAAAATTTATTATATAATATATATATATAACAAAGTTTCAGTGTTTTGTTGGGGACAATGATTATACATAAATATAATTTTAGCCAAAAAATTACTTATCATTTTCTCATTTTTAAAAAATAATGTCATCAAAAAAATATAAGTTTCAAATTTACTTAATTAGAAAAATCATTGTAAAACTATTAACTTATATATATATATACATATAAATTTCTAAAAGTTTTGAATTGTTTTTAATTTAATTTTTATTTTTAGAATTATTATTAGTAACTTAACTAAAATAAAGTTTTATTTGAAAGCTATATTAAATATATATATATATATTTGTTAATAAAAAATTTATTATAATTAAAAAAAAAATATTTACTAGTTTTAGTTTATTTCATATATATATTGATATAAATTATTAAGTCTAACATTTAATTAATGCTAATTAAAACTATAATATTAAAAAAAAAATAAAAATAATATTATAATTTAATTAACTATATATTAAATTATTTTTATGTTATTGAAGTTCATATTGAAGTTTATAATAAGTTTGATAATGAATTTTATTCAATAGTTATAAAAGTATTTAAAAAAAAAAATTTTTTTTTTAAATTAATTACACAATGACTTAATATTGTTAAAAATAGAAAAAAATATGTTATGAATAACTTTAAAAAAAAAATTTTTTTTTTACAAAATTATAGTGGGTCATAATTTTTTTCAAAAAATAATAATAATAATAATTTATTTACTAAATTATTCAATTTCATTAAGTAGTAAATATTATTTTTATAAAAAAATTTATTGTTATTTTTTTTGTAAATATCATAATTTATTTCCTGTAGTACCTACCTGTCCAAATATTATTTGCAACTAGCACAGTTATATAAATTATAATATAGATTATAATATAATGTTTAAAAAAATAATTTAAATATAGATTGAAAATAACATAATTTGTTATAAATAATAATTTTAATAACTAATAGTAAAAAAATATACTGTATTATAGTTGTTGTTATAAATAATAATTGAAATGAAAAGTTTTACAAAAATTATAGTATTTTAAAATATTTAATAATAATAATAATAATAATAAAAACTGATAACTTGTTTTGCAATTTAATTTAAACTAATAAAATAATAAAAAGACATCAATATATTTTTTCACTTATAAAAAAAACAATAGATGCTAATAATAGATTTTTTTTCAAAAATTAATACTATAATAATATATTGATTAAAAAATTGAATTTGAATTTTGTTTGTTTGTTAAAACATTGTTTTAAAAATAATTCATCATAATCATTATTATCGAAATCAAAAAAAAACAATTGAATAAATTAAAAACTCAAATAAAATAATAAATAGTTAAATAATGTCACTTTTGACAGTTTTACTGAGATTTTAGTAATATATTTCAAAAAAATAAAAATAATTTATACATTTTGATGATTATTATTATTACTATTATAATCAAAAGTAAATATACATAAAACTAATAAACAAAAAAAATGCTTTTAAAATTTTATTTAGCATATATATAATATATATATATATTGTAAAATATTTTAACAGGTTATAAAACATTATAAAAATTATTTATAGATATATATATTAGAAATATAAATAAATATATATATTGTTATCCAGTATTAAACTATTTAATCGTATATTATTTGGTTATTGTAATTAATTATAACTAATAAAATGTAAACTAAACAACAACAAAAATTATTACCTAGGTCCTGGTTCTAGTTTTTAATATGTTTATTAATTAATTAATTAATTAGTTTATGCTAATTAAAGTAATATTATTAAAACACTAAAAATAAATATAAAACTAACTATTAATATAATCTAAATTAATTAAACACCTACATATTATTATTTTTAAAAAGATTATCACAAAATCATTATTATATATATATAAATATATATTATATACTGTATATATATCAATAACATATGAAGTGTATTACCCCCCGCCCCCACCCCTCATCTCACCCTCCTCTCATCATTCTCACCAATTTAGATGAACGCCTTAACTGGATGTCACCTAAAAAACAACATATATATTACCATAAAAAGCATAACGTATATTATCAATGAAAATATATTTTATTTTTAAATGTGATACTAATAAAAAAGGGATTAAAAAAATTTTAATATTTATATATATATATTAGCTATTTTCACAATCAATTAAAAAACAAAAAAAAATAATTATATCTCTCTTTATACATATGTTATAAAAATACTGATTTAGTTATACATTAATGTTATATATAATATAAGTTATATTATTATTATAATATAACTAAACTTAGAAAATATTATTTCAATTATTATTTTTAAAACAAAAAGATATATTAAGACAGTCTAGAATAATGTCGTAAAAAAACTATTATTTAAAAAAAAAATTAATTTTAAACTACAATACAATTTATAATACATTACTTATAATAAAATTATATTGAAATTAAAGATTAATTTTATATTGCTATTTCTATAAATAATATTAATATATTGTTAAATGTTTTTTTTATTGTTGCTAAATATTAATGTATATATTTTCATATTAAAAAATATTTGTTAAATATGTCCAGAAATTTAATACAGAAAAAAACATCAATTAATTGAATTTAAAAACATATTAAATATTATTATATTAAATGATACAATTTATTTATACAAAAAAAAAACAATTAGATTTCCTCTCATTTGAAAACAACAATTATTTTTTTTAAAATAACAACTAAATGAAACTATTAAATAAAAAAAACAATTTGTGAGTATAGTATAAATTGATATAAACAATGATAACATTTTATATTATATTAAATAATAAACATTATGTAAATTATGTTTTATTGTTTCCGAGGTATCAAAAATATTTTTTTAATAAGTTATTATATATATATATATATATTTAAAAAAAATTGAGGCTTAGCCCTTATAAACAATTAGCAATTTAATAAAAATATATATATATATTTTTAAAATTTTAATAATTAGATTTTTGCATTGCTTGTAATATTTAAATATTAAATTTTTTTAAAAATAATATGATATCATAATAGAGGAAACATTAATAATTTTTTTTAATTTTTTAATTTTTTAATTATTGAATTATTGTAATATTTTTTTAAAAAATATATTACTATACATTAATTTTGAAAGCTAATTTATTATTATAATTACAGTATATTATATGTTAAATGTATATATATAGTCATAATTATATAATAAATAATTTGAATTTTATTCAACTTAATGCTTAAAAATCCTTAAATATAACTTATTTTTTATTTAAAATAAATGAAAAACCCTTAAATAAATAATTGATTAATTATTTAAATTAAAACAACAAATATATTTATATATATATATATGATTAGCAATATATATGATTATATATGATTAGCAATAAAGATTATATTGATAATAAAAATTTTATAATTTTATATCTTATAATAATATGTAACCACAAAATGTTATTATATTTTTATATATAAAAAAAATATTATTATGATAATCTAATAGAGTTAAAAAAAATAATGTAAATATAGTAAACATATTTTTCCAATTAAATTAATAACAATTACTAACTAACAAAAAAAAATAATAAGCTTTAAGTAATAATTTTTTCAATATATATAAATTATGCTTAAATAATGTAAATTTATTTTCAACAAAAAAAATTAGTTGAAATTAGTAATTAATAATAATATAATATAATAAAACTATTATAAAATAATCATTACTGACAATTAGTGTTTAAGAAAAATGAGTTTATAAAAAAATAATTAATTTATTATAAATCATTTTTTTGTTGTTGTTGTAAAACATGTAATCAATTTATTTTTTTGAATAATCAAAGTTGAGTTCATAGATTATATAATATTATTTTTATTTTAAATTTTATTTTCCATATA